GTACACATGACAACAGATACAAAAAATGTAGATACAAAGGGCTAATGTAGACAACATAGTGACTGTTTGGTAATGGGTAAAGCTTTCAGAAAGTGTGACTCCAGAGTTGGGTGAATAGGAGTTGAAGGATGAATTGGAGTTCACCAGACCGAAAAAGAGGAGTGCTTGGTCTCTGCTCTCAGTATTCCTGTCAATGGCCTGCACTGACTGTCACAACTAGCTGGAAGGAAGTAATCACTATGGTGCAACCTTTAAGCACATGTTCATGGCAGGCCTGGATTTTCACATTTCTAGGGATATCTAAGTGCCCCCTAAATCTACACTGGAGAACCACAACTAGAGGCGGTCAGTACTTACAGAAATTGGTTCTAAGTTTAGGAAGATTTCAGTAAGGTGGTAATGCTGTCTAAGAAATTAGAATATCAATGAATTATTTTTTAATTTTAATGATAAAAAGAAAGAACAAAAGAAAAATCCACATGAAGTAAACGAGGCAAGCTAAAATAATAAATGGGATGGGCGTCCCTGGTGGCGCAAGGGGTTAAGTCTCAGCATTATCAAGCTATCAACAGCCACTAAAATATGAGTTCGCTCACCAGCTGGCCAGGGAGCTAACCCACATGGCTGGTGCAGCAAACCTCTCCTGTCTCACCCGCTGCTCCCCTCAGCAGTGTATTTCAGTAGATCTGCCTGTACTGTTGTTCCCTACGCTGTCTCTGGTGAATCATCCCTCCCTCTCTCTCTCTCTCTCTCTCTCTCTCTCACACACACACACACACACACACACACACACACACACACCCTCTTGCTTACACCCCAGTTCTTATATGGATAATAAAAATAAATCTTTAAAAAATAAATAATAAAGGGGAACATACACAAAAAGATCAGAAAGGAAAGGGGTACCAACTGCGGTTAATACAGAGAAATGAATACTTCTGAGTTATTACTGAAAATAAATTCTGTACTGGAAAACAGTGATGTTCAAAGATGAGACCTATATTCTCACTGGTACTATGCCTGTAGCTCCCAGGGACAACAATGGATAAACACGTGGAACACAGCAGCAAACCACAGAGTCCAAAAAGCCATAAATCCTATGGCTTTTTGTGCCGATAGGGCTTTACTGGCTAAGAAAAAGGAAAAGGACCTGGGAATAATAAAGGGGATGAATAAGGTGCCTCTCATTCTCAGGTCTCCTGGCACAGTGGAATTAAAGGCAGGTCAACAACCAGGCTGCTCAGCATTTTCTATAAACACTGCTGAAAAATCCCAAGAAGATATCAGAAACACGGGGCCAGCTAACTCAGGTTTCCACATACATTACTTACATAATTGGCAGGAATAGCTTGTTTCTGGGTCCCTTGCAGTAGAGAGAGCCTTCTAGAGAAAATAAAGAGTGTGTGTGTGGGTGGAGGCAGGGAATAAAATATGAACCAAAACACTTCCCCTAAGTTTCATTTACCTGATGGAATCAAATGGCCCAGCTTGATCAAGAGATTTTTTTTTTATGCTGCTATTTCAACATAATTATTAAAACAACCCCTCACACTTTTCCAAATGTCCTGGTTTGGAGAATAAATTGTAAGGTCACCATCTATTTAGTCTATGTAATAAATTATTGCAACAGAAAGACTGAAACAGTTTTCAAAAGGAAATGTGTTTCAGGATAATCAGATAGCACCAGTTGAGGAGAAAAACAGAAGAATGATAATGTAGACATGTAGAATAATTGCTAAAAGTAGAAAAGCATTACTTTACAAATCCTAACTGAATTATTAAACCAGATAAGAATTATTAATTGAAACTGAAACCACTCAGTGAACAGTTGATGGGGAACTGGAGATCATTCAGTGACAAGCTAACACCACACATTGCTTTTGGTGGCAGGGGGAAGTAATACAGCTTTATTACGGAGGTTGTCAGTTCCCTAATACTGTGGTAACCTTAACTTCACCAATGATGGGTGAACCAGGGTTCAACATCACTTTAAATACATTCTACTCACAATGTTTAACCTGAGTCTGATGAAGTCTTTAAATTTGATTTCCGGTTTATAATGAATCCAAAAGACAGAGAAACAAGTTAAACGCTGCAAGGCACAATCAGACTTGTCAATATGCCAATGAAATGCAAAACAAGACTTCACTAAACTAAAAGATCATTAAAGGCTATAATAACCAAAAGTGATGTGTAGTTCCAAAATCAACAAGTTCTAGAGGATATTTTGAAAGATTTTGGAAAATCTGAATATGAACTAGGTATAGAATGATAAAAAGGGACTGATAATTTTATGTGTATTATGTTACTATTTACTCTGTCGGAAAATGTCAGAGATGCACAATGAAATATGGGCATAAGGACATCTTACCACTTATTACTTTTGCATATAGGAATGTTTAAAAAAGAATTAGTGTGTGTGTGTGTACCCACATATATATAGTTTAGAAAATCAATTTCTTCCCAACCCCATAAGAGGAGGGTAGAACTGTTTTAAAAACTATCAACTGAAAAGTTTCAGGTTGGTCTGTCCCAGGGATTCCCCACATCTTTGGCTCTAGCACCAAGTAAGGTACCCAAAGTGCAGATACCATAGATGCAGCCTGTACCGACAGCATTCTGTGATGGAGACTCCAGAATCTAGGGCTAATAGGGACCTGGAGACACTGTCTTGATAGCTCTTTGTTCTAAAGCAAACAGATGTGGCAGTATCCAGTTCTCAGGCGAACTAATGAGTACCTGTCCAGCATTCCAGGCATGTCACCAGATATGTGTTGGAGCTTTGACATAAGAATACAACCACAGTGAATGATTCAGGTATCCCCAGAACAAACAGGAATTTCTCAGAGGGTTTATCCCAGAAGTTAGAGGCAAACCATTTCCTAAGAGGGAGACCTAAACTTGTTAAGCACATAGTTACTGGATCCTGGTGCTGGGATTCCTTGATAAGATCTCTCTGCAGGGAGAACTGTTACAGGTGACGGTAAAGAATTTAACAGGTCAAGAGGGGAAGAGACAGAATTTGTGAGAAAAGTAAAAAGACAGAGGTTAGAAATGATAGAGACTGAGGGTTTATCAGTGAACAAAACTATAATGAAGGATTTATTTATTGGCAAGAGCCAGGAGAGGCAGGCATCATAGTAACAGGATGATAAATAAAAGTTAAAGGAGAACTGGAGAAAAGAGAGATGAGGGTGGAGGGGTAAACAGGCAGATAGAAGACATAATGAGCAAGAACAAGGAACAAGGGATAAAACCCAATAGCAAATGGGGAGATGGATGGAATTTGAAATGGCAAAGGAAACAGAAGGACAGAGGGGGCAGGAAGTAAAAGAAAGACAGCTGGTCAAAGGTTGAGGGGGCAGAATTTGGAACTGACAAGAGCTGATTGCATCTTTTCTTCTCTGTACTCACAGAAACTTATATAGTGGGGACTCAGGAGGGAGGGAGGAGACAGGCAAGACAGGCCAAGGAAGGCAGACAGAGAGCAGAAAACAAAGACTGGAAATAAGAGAGATGTAAAGGTGTAGAGGAAAAGAAAGAACAAGGAATGAGCAAAGCACATGTTTTTGAGGCACACAAGGATGTTAACTGTTAGTTAAAATATGGTAGATATGAGGGCCTCTCTGGTGGCACAGGGGTTAAAGTCTCAGCACTATCAAACTATCCTAGCCACTGGTGCATGAGTCCAGTCCCCAGCCAGGGAGCTAACCGATATGGCACAGAAGACCTCTCCTGTCTTGCCTACTGCTCCCCTCAGCAGTGTATTTCAGTAGATCTGCCAATCTGTCTCTGGTGAATCCTCACACAACCCTCTCTCCACGCCCCCTACCTCTGGCCTACACCCCAGTTCATGAGCATGGTAGATGGCAGATACAGTGTTCATGAGCATTCTAAGTCACATTCCAGAATTACACAATTCAAATTTACCATAAGAATATAAAAATTGTTTTGGCCAGGAAACATTTCTGTGGCTGACCGGATCCATTACTTATCTCATACAAATGCCTGGAACTAGGGTAAGCGCCAAATAGCTCATATCTTTTGTGCACTAGTGAGTGATCTGATCAGCCAGTGGGGCTCTTTATATTCTCAATGGTCCTGCTCTCATCTAGTGGGTGATTATTTCATAATATTAATTGCCTTGAGGCTGCTGAATATTTTCCACCAATTCTGAATGCCCAGAGCCACCAATACAAGAGGAGAATATTGGGTTAACATAACTAATGTGGACAGAAAGCTGGCTAACTACTAGAGAAAAATCCATTTTTTTCCAGGCATCTACTAATCTAGATTTCTGATGACATTATCCTGTGATTGTCAAATCTTTATTTCTTTCTGTTAGGGGAGATTTAACCCAGAGAATTAACAGATCTCTCTAGGATGCAAATCTCTCCCGGGACACAAGATTTTGATTGACAGCTCACAAAATATTTCTGGAATGCATGCAAAATTAGATTCACACACAATTTTCATGCAAACTCAAACCTATCCATCAACTAAACAGTGGCTCCCAAAAAGCAGTCAAGGTTCTGTGTTTGGAAACTGGAAAGTCTGGTGTTTTAGAAGCCATAATCAAGTATATTTTTGGTTTGCAGTTCTTCATATGTGGAGGTTGTTTTTCTAGCACATGGGTAAGATCAGAAATTTGTATTAAAATTATTATTACAAGATTTCAAATCACAATGGATCATGTATTAGAAAATCGCTGGTTTGCAATTTGTGGGGAGAAATGGGTTAGTAAATTCAGAGTCCTAGTCTTCAGTTTGTTTTCCCAATAGAAAACAGTAAAAGAAATACTCCCCCTCTCATGACTCATGATGCCAGTTTGTTATAATATAGTCTAAAGATATGAGGTTGGCACAGGTTTAACATCCATATTTCCTAATTTTGAAGCTTGAAATACATACTATATACAAAGAACACAGGAATTGTAATTGCAGAGCACCTATACATGAAAGGAAAGAGAAAGATCCAAAGGCCTCCTGGTGAATACTCACTATTTGGTAGAGTCAGATAACTGATATTCTCGTCGTCTATCATAGCATTCCTGGATTCCAGGATCATTCCATAAACTTTTTATTGCATCTACATATGGATTCTCAAAAGCAGACACTTTCTCCACGTCAACTTCTCGAACTAATTGTGCATGAGCCTGTTGAAACAAAATTAAAACAGTTTTAATTTACTTTCCATCACTGAAAATTACCTTTGGCTCCATCAAGCCTTGAAGCTACTAAAGGTGATCAAAGGAAAGCAGAGTATTTAGCTCCCATTAAAACAATGAAGATGGAATACTACAATAAAACCATATTTAGGTGATTATCATATTCCTAAAACAGTATTATTAAAGGGAAAAGAAAGAGGAGTAATTATTCCCTCTATGTTTATTGCTTATTAAAATACCCAGCCCATCAGTACTATATCTTAGTAGAAACGAATCCAGCTGCTCAACTAATCAGGATCATTGTCCACAGTTCACTTTTAAGATAGGATATAAAATCACTAGGATAGTTAATGTTTAAAGATTAAATTTGAGCAATAATAACCATTCCCTTTCCACTTACACATATCCCAACTTTCAAAATACTTACTTTATACCTGCCTTATCTATATTATCAGACTGAGGACACACTGGATTTTTTTTAAACAAGGAAAAAAACTTTGTTATTTTTTATTATATAAGATTTAACAGTAAAGAATTAAGAAGATATAAAAAATTTTTTCAACAATATTGAAATCAAAATGTTCTACGGTCAACAATTTAACCAGTGCATACCACTCTCTAATAATTCCAATCAAACTAAGTTCACATAATGTAAATGCAAATAATATGGACACATAAATATCTATAAACATAGTAACTAATTACCTTGAAAATTACAGTCACATGGTTGATAATTTATTAAAAGTCTTGACTTTGTACAGAAATACAAACTTTTTCTAGGTTAGTGAATGGCAATTATTATCACACGATGACCTAATTTCTTTCATAAGCATTTTAAGCAGGTGCAATTTTAATAAATTTATCCATGTTACTCCCTGTCTGGTTCTCAATTTTTACCTTCCTTCTCTTCCCATAAGTGGGAAGGACCCTCATGTCATTAAACTAACATTGATTTTAGTAGGGTTTTAAGAATTTCAGCTCACTGAACTTAAACCACCTTTCTTGCTAATTTTGTTCTGACCATACCTTGAGAAACCCTAGCTCTACCACGGACCCCAATCTTGGAAAGTAGATGCCTGTAGTTACTTTTTGTACTTAGTCCCTATCCAGGCAATGAGCTCATCAGTGATTTACCATCATGAAGTCTCGTTCCTGAAACTGGGTACTTCTCCCTCAATCAGAGTTCCTCAGGAGACTCATGGCTCCCTAATGAAGTCCCAGTGCTGTGCTCCAACTGACTCCACAGAACCTGTCACTCCATGTGAAAATTCAATACCAAGGACTGGACTTAAGCCCTCTACTCTGCCTTCTGCTTCCTGAAATTGAACCTCCTCCAAATACAAAAAACTGGATGTCTAAGCATCTCCACCCTGTCCAACAGGTATGCCTCAATACTCAGAAGGTTATGTCTAATGTCAAGTCAACCACTGCCTTTCTGCCCTTGCACACTGAATATGAACTAGTTCTTGCTCCCTGTATCCTGAGATATGACAGTGATTATCCTTGGCATAATTGTAGAGTTGCCATGGATACATCTATATTATAAGGTTCTCCTGCAGATTCTGAGCATCCAGGAAGGCAGCTGAGGGCAGACGTTGAGGATACACAGGGTGGTTTCCTGCTAGCTAATCGATTTTCAAAAGGAGGTCCACACACTAGCAGCATCATTTGAGAGTTGGATAGAGATGCAATTCCTCAAATTCTATCTCTTACCTTTTTTTTTTAAGATTTATTTATGTGTACAAGAACTGGGGTACAGGCCAGAGGTGTGGGTGGTGAGAGGATTCACCAGAGACAGAGTAAGGAACAGAACAGGCAGATAGACCAAAAAAGACTGCTGATGAGATCAGTGGGCAAATCAGGAGAGGTCTGCTGCACCATGTGGGTAGCTCCCTGGCTGGGGATCAAATTCATGCTGCAGTGGCTGCGGATAGCCTCATAGGTTGCATCTCAACCCCTTGTGCTACCAGGGAGGCCCCTATCTCTTGCCTTTTGAATTAGAAACTCTGGGAATGAGGTTCAGTCAGCCAGGTCTATTTTATCAGGTCAATGACTCACATTTGCAAAAATTTGAGGACTATTGCAAATTCTACAGTACCACACAGACGTTGTGATCACGATTAATTGTGTAGTTAGTCAGAAAATTACTATGGAAAACTGACAAGACCCACAGAGGCAACAGATACTCTAAAGCAAGGGTCATTCACAGATGTTTCATAAAGGCCAGGAAGCCACAGAAATAAGCCAGGCAATAGGGAGCGATGGGAACTGTGTCATAATGAGAAATACATATTCTAATTAACAAGGGCAGCTGCTATACAGTTTGAACAAATTGCTACTGTATGAAATGTAGGCTCACTATCACCAAATCTTCCAAATTTTCAAGGGATATTAAAAAAAAAACTAAATTTTTATTGAAATATCCCTATAATGATAAAGCGCACCTGTATCTCATTTGGATTAAGGGTCACTCACTTGCAACATTCCTTCTAAAAATTTTTCACCATGTGCTTCCCTAATGAGCTTGACTAATAATAACTCTATGTCCTGCACAGAACCTAGAACACACTAGCTGGCCACTCATTAACAAATTAAATTGAATAAATAAATTACCAGTATTTTCCTACAATAATATTTGGAAAAACTATTTTACTACCCACAGGGAAAAGAGCTGAAACTTCTATGAATTGGGTAAAAGCTATGTGATGTCAAAGGTTAGTATTTCTAAAATGAATCTGATACTCTATGTCCCAGGCCAGTCATGTCATTTGGAAGGAGTTCTGTCTCTGTTTCTAGAAAAGTTAGCTTGGGACAGAGAAAACAGTTTCATCAGACCACACACTTTTTACTATTATGACTGAATGGCTATTGGACCCCAAAGAAGTGCTAGGTAATGTAGCAATTAGAGAATTATTTAGATATTCCAGTGGGAAGAGGAAGAGGGGGCAGTCCATAAAGATGGCAACCAAACAAAGCACAGGATTATGTGCTGTGGGGTAAAAATAAGAAGAAATGTTTGCATTTCCATTCTTAATTCTAGTTGACTATAAGGCCATTTAAATAAAGACAATGATTTCAACAGCGTGTCATTGCAACTTTCCACCAAGAGTTTGCTCCTATGAAATGAGATTACTTATTACTACTGAAAACTCCTGTAATTTCTTACCTTGATCTATTTCTGTTTTCTTTTACTTACATCTGATATAACCCACCCCCTACTTTCTGTACCTTCTTTAGTTTTTATTCAGGAGCTGTATCATATGTCATCTATTACCGAAGTTATTCTTGATTTTCCTCCTTTCTGAGAAAAATGTAATCTTTGCATCCTTTGAAGGAACTTCTATGTTAATAGTCATCTTGACTATTATCCCTCTTTTAGGAAATACAGTGATGTAACTTATTGACTTTAATTCCTTTTGGGGCTCAGTACAATCAGACAACAAATATGTCTCTAATTTAATTGCACTTAAAAAACACAATGTCAAGTCTGACAAGTCAGATACATTCTCAAGGTAATTTCCATCCATTTTCTACTCTCATAATAATATATTACCCTTAACAGGTGTGCATCTATTTGTGTGATATTTGTTCTCCCTGATCACAGGATAGGCTCAACATTACAGCATCAGAGCAGATTATCTATCACCTGGTAGATGTTCAATAAATATCTGTTAAATGAAGGATGCAAGGAAGGAAGAGAGTGCAAACTATACTAATCTGGAAATCAAGACATATAACTTCTAGTCCTAACACTAACCAGCCATAATCCTTAGCAGAAACTACTTTATCTCTTTAAAACTTCATTTACTTGTCCATAGATGATCCACCCGGAGCAGATCATCTAAGGTCTCACCTAGCAACAAATTGTGATTATAAATATGTATAATAAATACATCTACAATGCACAAAACAACAAGGAGTTAAGATACTGTCCTTCTAGGAGAGCATACAGAATCATTTAGCAAAAGAAGGTCTAAAAATCAACAAACAACTATGAACCAGAGACACTCTGTGGAGGATGGGGGGCGGGGAAAGGAGGGCTTGGGGTCAAAATAAGGGGGTTGCAATTTTAAGAGGAATATAAAAATAAGATTTAAATAATAAATTTTAAAAAAAGGTCTAACTATTTCAAACAGTACCTAGTCATCAATACAGAGTAGAATATGGTTAAGTCCCTACATGAACAATGCTACAGGGCAATGAGCAAGGGAAACTGACTTTAATTTCTCTTGGGGCTCAATGTGAACAAAGTTCCTCAGTGTGAACAGAGAAGGTCAAAGTGTTCAGAAGGAGAACAGGATTTAGTTGACAGGTAAGGTGAAGATGTGGGACACTTAAATGGTGAAGGAAGAGATGAACAAAGTTTCAGCCAAGCAAATAAACAAGGCACTTACTTTTAACTGTGAAAAAAGTCTAGTGAGGTTTTATGCTGACTCTTAATTTAACTTAGCTTCCATAATCAAAGAGATAATATTATCTATGAACCATAATTCAGAAGTTAACTTCTACCATCTTGATTTAAATAAAGTTTTAAGAAGCCCAATTCACTGAGAATGAACAAATCAACTTTCTGCTAGGTCTGCCCTTAAACACACAGGTTGCTATGCTGCCTTCTAAGGCACTTTCACTGCCTCCTAAGCTCCATTATTTAATTCTACCCTTGGCTGTTTTGAAAAATGACATTCAAATATAATCAACTGTAATTTGCATTTATGTAAGAGTTTTCATCTGAAGCTCTGTAAGTTATTTAAAAGTATAACAGCCTTTTACAAAATACACTGAATTTTAAAATTATATACATGTCCCCAAAATAAGTGCAATCCTCTTTTTTTGTAAGAAAATATTCCGTATGTAGAAGGCACTTTTTAGGATGTTAGAGTAGGGAGATAAATCAGACACTTTCCTATTTGTTCAAATGTCAAATATAAATAGTAAAAATCACAAGTAATTATGTGAAATTAAACAATTATGAAGGCAAAAGACTGGTG